GGCGGCGGGGGTTGCACCTCGGCCGCCCGGGGCGCCCGGAGGAGGAGGGCAGGATCGCCGGGCCGGCAGTGCAAGCGGTGCCAGCCGAGGGATTACCGGAGCTGAACAGACCGCGTATCCACAGTATCACTATTTAAACGTGGCAATTAGGGAAATCCTGGCACTTTGGCTGACAAAGGCAGGGAGATCAAGCCGTCAGCTCGCCCCAGCGGCCCCTTTGCAGCCCAGTCTGTTAGGAGCGATGATTTTTGTTGCCAGTGCTGTAAACCAGCGATGCACCCGTTTCGATATCAGCGTTTGCAAACTGCTTGTCGGCTTGATCGCTCCGTTTCAGCAGAGAAGCTAAAAAAAGGTGCTTCAGCTTTGCTGCCTCTTGCACACCTCGTTAGAGTCTCATTAACAACCCCGCATGCAAATAAACAGAGACGCATCAGACAGGGAGCCCGCTACAAGAAGGAAGTGGCGTCACGTCTGCTGGCTGCAGACGGAGCAGCTTCCTCCTCTCCGCTGACGCCGTTTGGCTCCCGACTTTAAAACTGGGGGGATGGTCACGCAGAAATGCGTCCAGGGATTGTGCACAGAAAGCAAAGTGTATTGAGCGCTTGGAGGTGCTTTCCTGGGTGTCCGTACATGCTGAATCAGAGGTGCTTGGCTTTTCCTCTGCTTTTCCTCTGCTCCTTACCTTGTAGCGAGCACTGGTTTCACCACCTTTGCAAGAGCTCGCTGTCTCTTTCCAAATAAAATGTATTTTCTTGCTATAACCTTTCTGTGACACTGTTGTCAGTCTCTAGGATTCAAACCCCAGCTCAGCCCACACCCAAACGCCTGCCTTAAATAGTAGCGTTTTACACACACGTAAAAACGTTGCCTTATTTTTATCTGCCCGTTTTGGGGGTCTTTAGGACACACCAGGGTCATATAGCAAAGCTTTCTCTTTTGCAAACTTAAGAACTGGAACCCTATTAAAATGGAAGCTGAGGTTCTTACATAATTACAAGACTTGGGGAGTCGAGAGGTTTAAGAAAAACACTAGCGAGACTTCCAATAAAACCCTGAGGGTTGGCTCCCTCGCAGCTACACCACAAATAACTTGTCCTGTGGCTCATCTGTTAGCTGTTAAAATTCACATGACTTGGCTTTAGCGCTGATTATCTTACCTGCTAGCTAGTCTCTTCTTAAAGGAAAAAAAAAAAAAAAAAAGCCGCGAAAAG